GATACTGGGGAGACGTCACAGCACGGGGCGTTTCATGTCACGTGGGAGTCGGTCGTGTTAAGGGTCTGTGTCACCGGGTGCTGAGGCAGGCACCTCCCCTCGGTTCTGCTGGTGCGGATACACAACCTCACAACACAGAAACACAACCTCAGAACAGACAAACGGCCTCAGAACACATTACTTAGAACCTGCCTGTGCTTCTCTGAAGGGCTTAAGAGCAAGGAAATAAGCAGCACGAGGAGCTCCTGGCCCTACAAAGAGGAGCGCAGGGCCACAGACAGACACACGGGATGCCTCGTCCCAGCAAAGGGCCTGGAAACGGGAAAACTCGTCCTGGCTTAGTATTGAAAGCACTCTTGAGAAAACGGAGTCCACAAATTACCGGAAGCTTTAAATTTCCACTGCTTACAACTTACCTAAAAGTACAACGAAGATAATCATCTACAGCTGAAAACTGTCTTTTCACTTGGCTTTGATACACCCTCTGTGGTTTGAGCTCAAGATAAAATATTTCTGCCCAATTACGACATGCCCCCAATTCTCCCTGATGAATGTGGCATCTCCAGCCCAGCGACAGCTAGCGCCAGGCGGAGCCCCGGGAGGATCTCAGAGCCGCAGGACAGATGCAGCTCCCACCTCCACTGTGAATAAGCCTTGAAAGGAGACGGACTTCTTAACCAAGGAGGAAATACCTGAACAGACACACATCAGAACCGAGAGGCAAAATTACTACATACATATGCACAGATACACACACACACACACACACACACACACACACACAGATACACACACATCTACCCAGCATACACACTCATATATATATGCACAGATACACACACACATATGCATACACATGCATCTACCCAACATACACATTCGCACACATACGCACAAACACACATCTACCCAACATACACACTCACATACATATGCACAGACACACACATCTACCCAACATACACACACATCTACCCGACATACACACTCATATACGTATGCACAGATACACACACATCTATCCAACACACACACACATATACACACACACATACACATATGTGGGTGTGTGTACAGCCATCCAGACACATCCTTCCCTTTGAAACGCCGCTTCCATCACTTGAAGAAAACACAAAACTTGTACAAAGCAAAGCATAACACGTCAGACTCGTTAACAGGGTGACCAGAGAACGGGCCAACCACTTGCACCTTGCTGGGCCGGTGATGCCTGAATTCTGAGCCTGGTAAAGTTCAGGTGGACGTGAGGGTGGGAAAGAGCGCTGCTGTGAAGCCTCTCTTCCCTCTGAGGGGCGCCCACACCAGGATATTGGTGCCACTTTGGTGCAACACAGATAAAGCGCCTAAAGTCCTTCCTAACAGGCAGGAGTCTGACATGGAGCAGTTTCGGGGGTCCCGTGCCATCCCGCATTCCTGCATGGGCCATGCTGAGAGAGCCACCCGTGCCCAGGCCTTGCTGTAGCCATGCCTGCCCTGAGCTCCCACCTTGGCTGGGGCTGAAGGTGATTCTGACCTGCAGAGGTGCTGCCTGCAGGTGACCCATCAGGACCAAGAACCCAGGAAGGGAGCTGCTTGGTTTGGTTTTGTTCGATGAACTTCAGAGAATGGCCCTCGGGCTCTGGAGCCCAGCTCAGAAGCACCGGGGGGAGCCACTGGCCAGGCGCCTGGCCACCTTCTGCACCTAAGACTCCGGGGATGCCTGCACCTCATTATTCAGTTAAAGACACTTAAATAAAAGCATAAGCTTCCCTCACAGCAAGGAAGCGCCCCATCTCCTGCCCCCGGGACGTGCGCCCTCCCTCCGAGCACAGGACCTGAGCCCAGACTGCTACTCACTCTCTGTCCGTCACGATGTAGCCCCGCGCCTCTTCCTCGGAAGGCTTGACCTCCAATTGCAGGCCGTCGCCAAGCGCCCCCCGAGCACCCGCTGGAAGGCTCTGCTTCTCCTTCGGAGGCCTGGGCGTCGGGCTTTGGAGCTCTGCAAACCCGCCGGCCCCAGGCTGTGAATGCGGCTGCGGCCCCAAAAGGGCTTTGGAGTACGTCAGGCTCTTGACGTTCTCCACTCCGGCAGTCTCCTCTTCCGAAGACGGGGAGGCCTCAGGGCGCTCTGATTCCTTCCTCTCCATTTTGAGGGGCTTTGCAAAGGGGAGGGCTCCAGGCTCCAAGCGAGACCCGTGCTCCTGCAGGAGGTCCCCGAGCGCGGCGCTCAGACGATGGACCTGCAGAGAGGACATTCCGTGAGGGGAGGTTTGCAAGACGGATGCTGATGTGACATGTGCACTCCCCAGCTGGCCGGGGACACAGTCACCTGTGGGGACGACATGGGCAGCCTGGAAGGAGGGGGGAGGAGGCGAAGCGTGTGCAGTCTGGATTCAGAACGACGTCTAGGTGAGCGTGGAGCGTGAGGGCCCTGAGTATCCAAATCGCTTACGTGGTGTTCTCCCCCCACACTCCTTCACACACCTCTCTGAAGAATCAGACTTTGTAGAGTCTGAGAAGGTCAATGGCATTGATATTTTTAAAAATAAACGGTGTGACACCAAGATCCCACCCCTGTCCTCTAGAAGCAATGGACTCATCATCATCATCATCTTAATAAATCTGCATTGAATGAGCTCTGTACTAAATGCGTCATATGCACGAACACACTGAGGCCTCATGTAAGCCCATGAGCAGGGGACCCTCGGTAACCCCAGTTCACAGAAGGGGAAATGGAGGCACAAAGGGATGAACCCATGAGTGGCACGTCACAGGAATGTGAAATTGATTCCAGCGGTATCTGGGGGATCCGTGGTCCTCACGTGGGCCATGCTGTCCCAGCCGGGTCCCCTTTTCCTGGACGAGACGTCCCTCAGAGCCCCTCGGCACCTCTGCTGATGACGAGTCGGATACGGACTGCTTCCTGAAGCTGTCTCGTTTAATTACTACTCCAACCCCATAAATAAAGGTGAGTTCCACCTTTGATTTATAGACCGTGGGGTTTACAGAGGCTAAATATTGAATTATTTGTACCAGATCACAAAGGTCGTGATGATCAGATCCAGAATTAGAACTCAGGTCTAAGGGACGTCAAAGACATGTCTCCACCCCGGGCCACGCTGCCCTCCCAGGCAGCCACGCTGCTTCCTACAAAAGATGGGCGGCTCCCACTGCAGGCACGTGCCAGGCAGCCCGTGGACACCTTCTGGCGCATGTGATGGCATGCCCACTTGGCAGGGTTTTTTCCAACCACAAAATCACATCTTTAATATTTTATTAGACGGAAACAGGAAAATCTGATTCGCTTTATGACTCACTTTGCCAAAAGACACTTTTATGAAAATTAAGGAAGGGTTATAAAGGCGAGTGTTCTCATTTTGGCTACAAATGGCAACTCTTCCTTTTGCATTTTTGAAAATTTAAACAAAATAATCATGTGATAAAAACATCCCTCAAATTGGATCCTCAGTGACAACAGGACGTAGGGTTGACGTCACTAAACAGAGCCAGGAAAAGGCATAATATTCTAATATTCTCACTTAAATTGGGTTTCATGTGAGAAGAAAAAGAAAGATGTTTTTAAATAAATAAGAACACAGAAAATACGACACTCACATACCCTTTTTAAAAACAGAACTGCTTGAAAATATACCCCGAGCAACAGAGGACTCAATCAAAGTTCCACGCACAGAGGATGAAGACTGTGCCATCTAAAGTCAGGGGAGTCTCCAAGGGGCTCCTGCCCCTCGGGTGGGCGGACTGGGTCTCTCCCTCTCCCTAAGTGGGGAAATGTGTTTCTCAGCCCCACTTCTCCCTCCGCAGCTCAGAGGGCAGGTCCCGTCATCTCTGATGGATATTCAAAACAAGAGCCGTGGAGGCCTCCTTCAGTCCTCACTAACAGGCACGGAACTGCAACCCACTAAGGATCTGGGGACAGGGACTGGCCGAAGCTCCTGTCGCGAGGTCACTGCTGATGCCGAGGACAGGTCTTCATCCTTCGGCCTCGTATTAATGACCAAAGGTTCTCGAAGTCGGGGGACTAAGAGGCGAAGAGACTTAACAGGGAAGACCAGCGAGTGGCGCGTGGATGTCGCCTGCCACCGCGCCCTTCTCCTGGCTGCCTCAGAGCTGCGGCGCCTGCAGGGGCTCTGGGAATGGCAGAGCGTCCTCTGCCTGCGGCGTGGAGTGCCGTGGCCGGGAGCCACACGCAACTAATGGGCTGCTGACCTGTGCCCAGTGCAGCTGTGGCACTGTAGCTTTTATTCATTTCATTTTAATCATTTTAGATGTGGGTTTAACCAGCCACATGTGGCCGGCGGTGCTGCATGGGACAGCCACGTGTGAGCAAGCTGAACCTCTCAGGACTCAACAGGCGTGGGGGCGTCAAGTGTGGAAGATGGGCACGGGCTGCCACGTGGTCACCCTGGCTGGGAAATTCCAGAAAACACTAATTTTCTTCTTTGCATTCATGTGATTTTCATATTTCTACTGTGGATAAATTAGGTCATAATTTGAAAAGACATATTACATATCCAAATATACACAGTTTTGTATGTTCTCTTTCCACTGTTTTTTAGTTTGGAGATAACAAGGGGCTTCTTTGTAATTTTGGGGGGAAAAAACTTTTGTATTTCATAAGTGTCCCCATGCCATGAACAAAAAAACTACCAACTTCCACATTAACATAAAACAAACACCAGAGATGTCATCTTACCTCCTGGTACAGTCTGGCATCGTCCTGAACTCCGTCATCTGTAAAAGACACCAGTGTTACCAAAGCCCCCATCGGGAGTCATCAGAGGCATCGCGGCCGGGGAAAGGGTGACCGTGCAGACCCCTCCAGGCAAAAGGCGAGGCGTGATGACGCTGGCATACGTCCTATTAGAGAGTCAAGCTTCCCTGTTTACAGCATAAAATGGCACTCCACAAAGTTCACGAAGGAGGAGGGGACCGACAAGCTAGGGGCAGCCGCGGCGGCCTCGCCCGGCTCTGGGGTCTCCACTCATCGTCGACGTTAGCTCGCATCAGCAGCCGTTCACATGGTGAAGGCAGAGTGCAGCCTTCGCCGAAACCATCTCACAATTAAGATGGCTTCAGGGCCCACTGACAGGTGGGTTCACTGTGGTCAACATCTCTGTCTACATAAATATCCTGGCTGGGCGCCGTGGCTCACGCCTGTAATCTCAGCACTTTGGGAGGCCGAGGCGGGTGGATCACATGAGGTCAGGAGTTGGAGGCCAGCCTGGCCAACCTGATGAAATCCCGTCTCTACTAAAATTACAAAAAAGTAGCTGGGCATGGTGGTGCACGCCTGTAATCCCAGCTACGTGGGAGGCTGAGGCAGGAGAATCCCTTGAACCCAGAAGGCAGAGGTTGTAGTGGGCCGAGATCAAGCCTTTGCACTCCAGTCTGGCGACAGAGTGAGGCTCCATCTCAAAAAAATAAATAAGTAAAATAATAAATAAATGAATACCCTACTTGCAGTGGCCAAACGTGCGTGACTCACGGTACCTGAACGGTCACCCCGGGACGGCACACACACCAGGGCCTCCCATATCCTTCTATCCCTAGTGAGGGTCCCGATGCCTTCAACCACTGGGCGGCCACCTAACACAGGCCCCCGCAGGGCGCAGTCCCACCCCTCCCCTGCGCCCCCCACCCCTCCCCTGCGCCCTGCCATCAGCCAAGGCAGCCCTCCAGCTTCCAGCACGCCTTCCTCTGTACCCGTGCAGATGGAGAAGGGGCGCATCTGTCATTTGGTTTTCGGCACACACTCGTGGGCCTGCCAGGCGTGGGGAGCTGAGCGAGGTGCTTTCTTGCAGCTCCACACTGGGAGAAGCAGTCTGGCTGCAGACCGTCCCGGCTGGCCCACAGGCCTCTGCAGGGCTCAGATGCCTGCCTGGGATGGGGTACCGGGGGCTGCTTCCCACTGCCCCAGGGGCCTCAGAGGGCCAGTGCCTGCCCCAAGCAGACGTTTGAATGATCCCCTCTCACTCTGCTATTCAAATATTTGACAATATTCACTGTACACAGTCCAAACACACTTGCCATCACGCCTGTTTCCCTGGCTCTCAGCCTCAGCAAGGAGGAGCGAAACCTTCTCACAGAGAGCACTTTGCCATTCAACGTAATTGCTCTGGTAGGCTTAGTCTGTTAAAAAGCTTTTAGGGGCAAAAGTTCAAACAGATAAAAATTATCAATACAAATCCCCATCTCCACAGCAGACAGCCCTGGTGCACCTGGTGAGCCTGCAGTCTCTGTCAGCCCCGAGGGGTCTCTGTCAGCACTGAGAGGTCTCCTCACAGCCCTGAGGGGTCTCTCCACAGCCCCGAGGGGTCTCTGTCAGCCCTGAGGTGTTTCTGCACAGCCCTGAGGGGTCTCCCCACAGCACTGAGGGGTCTCTGCTCAGCCCCCGAGGCCTCCCCTCCCCACAGCACCCCTGGCTGTGGGCACCCAGGATGCTGGAGTCACCTGGAAAGCTGTCTCCACGGAGCGCGGCCTTGGGACCATCCGTCTGTTCTCCAGACTCTCCCAGGGCCATTCTGCCAGGGCCGCCTCCAGGTCCTCTGCGGTCCCCGCCTTGCATCAGACCAGCCATCAGCTCGGCCATGCCGTCCAGCTCCAGGGCATTCAGGGCTTCTGCCTCAGCCGGCTGCCTCCACAGGTCCTTCAGGATGGTCTGAATCCGCGTTCCTAGGGGCACACAAACAAACACAAGGACATCATGGGTGGACAAAAGCAAAGGCGAGGGCTTCCCAACCACAGGGGTGTGGCGGGCATCCACAGTGCCCAAGACAGTGGCCCGCTAGGGCTAGGCGCAGGCCGGCACTCAGAGAAGACTGGGACACTGGACTTGAATCTCAAAGCCTACCTGACACTGTGGCCGTCACTAGTTCAATTCCGCTGGAGATGGAAAACCCGAAGAACAGAAGAACAGACTCATCTATCAACTCAGGAGGATGGAAAGCATGGTTCCCGGAAAACAACTGGAGTGACCGAGCCAGTCAGAGTGATGGGCTGGGCAACTTTACCATGTCCCCCAGATTACAGAAGAATGTGATGGGCTGTGTCCCGCTCACTTGGCAGACAGAAAAGCAATATGTGGCAAGGACAGTGCCCTGCCCAGCACACCCTACCCAGGAGACCTCTCCAGCACACCTGCCCGACACACCCCACCAGGCACACCCTGCCCAGGACACCTGTCTGGCCCACCTGCCCGGTACGCCCTGCCCGACACACCCTGCCCGACATACCTGCCCGGCACACCCTGCCCCGCACACCTGCCCACACACCCTGCCCGACATACCTGCCCGACATACCTGCCTGACATACCTGCCCCGCACACCCTGCCCCGCACACCTGCCCAGCACACCTGCCCAACACATCCTGCCTGGCACACCTGCCCGGGACACCCTGCCCAGCACACACCTGCTCGGCACACCTTCCTGAAACACCCTGCCTGGCACACCTGCCTGGCACACCCTGCCCGGGACATCTGTCCGGCACACCTGCTTGGCACACCTTCCCGACACACCCTGCCTGGCATACCTGCCCGCTCAGCCGCCGACCCCCTCTGCTCGGCCCTCTCTGTACAGTTTGTCCATGCTTTGCTTGTTTGTCCAGTTGATAATGACAATGTTTTACTTTTATAATCAGAGAAGATGCAACAGAAATTCTCTCCTGGGGGTGCCTGCCCCTGGTGCCTAACCTGGGCGCTCCTCTCCAGTGCTCAGTCTCAGTGAGTGCCCAGGAAGATGGGGTGGAGGGTGGGGACCTGTCTTCGGGCCAGCACCCCAGGGGACCCTGGACAGAGGCTGGGGAGGCAGGGGTGCTGGGGGAAAGGGAGTCCAGGCCCTTGGCTCCCACACAGCTCAGCTGTCTCACACACAGCAGCGGAGATCACCGAGCAAAGATGGTGAAGACGCCCTGCACTTACCCGCATCACGACTCACAGTTTCTGAACAGGTTTAAGGGCAGGGGTGAAAGTCCCTCAGCTGAGGCTGGGGTCAAAGGTGGGGCTGGTGAGGCGGATGGAATCGGGGGACGGAGCACTTGGTGAGGGTCTTTGCAGAGGGCATCCTGCACACAGGACAACAGTGGCACCCCAGGCTGAGCACTGGGCATGGTGTGGGGACAGGAATCCTGCCTGCCGTGCAGACACATGGCGGAGCCCCTCTCCTAACGGCGCCACAGGCAGAGCCTGAAGTCCACGTGCCCAGCAACAGGAGAGCGATGAAGTCACATCCACACGAGCAATGACCCGGAAGAAACCACAGAGACGAGAAAAACAAAGAACAGACCTAGAACCAGTCACGCTGCATGAGAGCAGCTGGTCAGCAGAGAATCCACAGAATCCTGTCAACAGAAGATGGAGTCCAAGGACGGGAAACCAAAGCCACAGTTGCCTGCTGGTGGGGCTGGGGCGGAAGGAAGCTCGGGGTGTGGAGGGTGTGCCGTGCAGCGTGGGTCGCTGGTTCCAGGTGAACACGTGTCCAACACACCGTGTGTCCCCTGGGTGTGCCGTGCAGCGTGGGCTGCTGGTTCCAGGTGCACACGTGTCCAATGCGCCGTGTGTCCACCTGCATCTCTCCGCGGGTATACTCCACCTCAACAGCAGCGATAAGGACTCTGCCCTAAATAAAGTTGATAGGCCCATTTTGTGACTACTAAGTGTTCAGTGTTGAAATCTCTCTTTCCTCATAAAGGTTTATGTACGACAGTTCCTGGCCACGTCTCTATCTTCCTGAACGACACCAGCAGAGTGATGCAGAGGAGACACAGAATGTCCTAGACCTCAGTGGGGTCTCACCACGACCCTCCACCCTACAGGGGTCCCAGCATGACCCTCCACCCCAGAGGGTCTCACCACGACCCTCCACCGCAGGCCCGCTGAGGCATCCACCGGCTATATCCCAGGCCCGCCACTGCCTCTATGTGCTCACACCCCAGGACACTGTCCATTGCCCTAGTCACCCTGGGGCAGGGACCAGACGTAGGCAGCCCCCGGTCCCAGAGCGGCTGGAACTATTCTAACTGGGCAGTCCTGGGCCTGGTGACCCTGCCTTGCCCTCCGCCAGCCTCCCGACTGACCCTGGTGCGTCCCTGTAGGGACCTGTGGCATAGCCTGGGCCTTGAAGTCTGTAAGCAACAGACTGCTGTTTCCATGGCAGCTGTACCCACGTCTCTTGGCCTCGGCCTCCTGCATCATAGTAAAACCTGCCGTTCTAAAAAAAAGGGAACTGTAGGGACCGGCACGGAGGCCACTTACTCTTCTGTTTTCGCATCAGCCTTGAGCCTTGGAGGCGAAGGCCAGCCTCCCTTCTCCAGGGGAGAAATCTCCCCGAGCCCATCAATCCCCGCACATCAGCCCTCACCAAGCTTTCAGTGCCTTCAATGATAACTTCCAGCAGCCAACTTAGGAAAATAGGTCTCATTTTCTTACAAAAACATGCCTAAAACCACATCAAAGCCCACCTTCCCTGCCCTGCGATGAGGGCTGAAGGGCGGACAGCCCCGGTCAACAGCACCAGTGTCCCAGCTCCTTCCATGCTGACAGGCTCCTGTTGTTCTCAGGGAAGATAAAAGATGTGCTGGGAATTAAAGGCGCGTGCCCGTCACAGCCGTCGGTGCTGTTTTGAAACGTGCTGCTGATTGTAACTTTCAGAATCAGAAGGACCACGTCAGCCCCGCCACTGAGTCACCAGCCACGAGCCCAGCACACCCTTTTCATTTCATTCACTGCAGGCTCCTCCCGCCCCGGATCCTCTTCTTTCCCAGCGATTATGATCGCAGCAATGTCTTATCTCGCTCGCCCACGTCCACAGGTCCAATGCTGGCAACAGAGCGCTCACTCATCCCAAAGAAAATGGAAATGAGGAAGTGTGGGGAGGGGGAGGCAGAGCCGTGTCTGTGGGAGCCTGAGTTCTGAAGGGTTCCGGGCCCCACCAGGCAGAGCCCGGTAAACCCAGTGTCTGCCCCACGAGTTCCTACAGCCCCAGAAAACCGGCAAGAAGCACCCCAAGCCCGCAGCAGGAGCCGGCACAGCTGCAGGGAGAACTGAAGGGCCCTGGGCATTGGGCTCAGCCGTCCCCAGAAGTAGCATCCTCCGTGCTTGGGAGGCGAGGGACAGTCCCACGCATGGCTGGCACTGGCCCAGATGTGTGTCAGTGTCAGCCTGGCGACAGTTCTCAATGGACACCAGTCCCCACGCCAGAATTTCATCCGAGGGAAGGAAACACGGAGGGGAGCAGCAAGTGGTGGTTCCTAAGAAAAGGCCCTTTCTGCGGACACGAACCAGTGAACACAGGCTCGGCTGTCCAGCGGCCTCCTTGTCAGGGCAGCGGGACACGAGGCCCCACCTGACACGAGTAGCCACCTGACCGGAGGCCTCCTATGGGGCAAAGTCCATCATTTCCGATGTCACAACTCGCAGGAAGTGGTGGGGCCTCCCAGTGTGGTAGAACCATCCACTTCCAAGTCCAAAGATCCCTCCCAAAAAAGACAAAAAGACTCTCCGCACACTAGCTCAGCACAGCAGGCCCCACAGGGTCTGGAGCCTCCACCTGCATCTGCAGACACCGCCTTCCTGAGCTCCCAAGCGGAGCGGCCGCCGTCCCCTCCCCCACCACGCAGTGGCCAGAGCTCCCCCGGCAGCCGTCCCCAGCAACCCCACAGCAGCTCCCGAGAAGGTAAGGTGGTCCCCATGGGGGAAGTCCGGAGTGGAATTCCACTAACCATTCTTCTGCAAGGCCCCGTGTCTCTGAAGGGCTGAAAAGCTGGTTGTGATATTTTGACCGATGGTGAAAGAATAAAAATTCTGTGACTTCTCAACAAAGAGGGTTAAATGTTCTCAAATTTGGGATTTCCAGTGAAAACGAATCATGTTTTGCCATACTGATCCACAAATAAACTTTTCTGAGTCCTGCCTAAGGTTTATAAAAATGATGTGCACAGGCTGGGCATTCCCCTCAGAGTGGCTACAGCATCACTAGCAGGAAAATGCCAAAAGAAAGAGAAAGCAGACATCAGGCCAGGCATGGTGGCCCACACCTGTAATCCCAGCACTTTGGAGGCTGAGACGGGCAGATTGCTTCAGCCCAGGAGTTGGAGACCAGCCTGGGTGCCTGGGCAACATGGTGAAGCCCCATCTCTACTAAAAACACAAAAAATTAGCCAGGTGTGGTGGCGGGCACTGTAGTCCCAGCTACTCAGGAGACTAAGCCAGGAGAATCACCTGCACCTGAGAGGTGGAGGCTGCAGTGAGCCGCCGGGATCGCGCCACCACGCTCCAGCCTGGGCGAGAAAGCAAGGCCAAAAAAAACAAAGAAAGACAGAAAGCAGACGTCAGCTCGCATCCGGGATGGGGTGCTCGCCTCTACCTCCGGGCAGGCTGGCGCTTCTCCCACCGCTTCAAGGGGAAGAGGCTGCGGTCTGTGTTTCTAACGGCAAACACCATCACCGTGAACACTGGTGAGTCACACCTGACACAGAGAGAGAGGTGTGCTGACACAGCCTGAACTTGTTTCCCTCTCAAACCCACAGAGGCCAAGCACCTGCTCTGAAGGAGGAATCCCACGGCCAGCCATGTTTCCAGAATACCACGGCGTGGCGAGGCCTCCCTCCCCGACGGCGGGCAGGGCCGGCAGTGCCCGGACATCCTCAGGCGGCGAGCGCCATGCTCAACCATGCGAACC